CCACACGCTCATGAGCTCTAGTACTTGCCACTGTATTGACCATAATGTTGTGTAAACTTGCAACATAAATTCCTTCAGGGTTACAAAAACCCGCAGACTGCCCTCCGTGACTGTTCAGTCAGCAAATATTTTTCTGCTTTAGGAAGGACGTATGAGTGCTGGAGCCTGTGTGTGTGTCTGTCTGTCTCTGGGCTGTGTATCTGCCTCCGCTGTGTAAATGCACGAAGGCGTGCGTGTCACTGTGTGTGTGTGTGTCTGTCCTCCGGCTTCAGCTTGCGCGTGCTTTGGGAAGTCCCACCCAAATACATGCGATGTTCACAGGGCGGTCTACGTGCTGCATATAAAAGTTTCCTTAGTGGGAGCATGTCCCTGCCACGCTGGGGTGATGGAGTCACACGGGAACTCCTGGTCCTCCCAAATACGTGCCAGAAGCCCCTAGAGTTACAGCAGGTCTTTGGGCATATCTGAATGCCTACAGACACCGGGAAACCCAAGAATGCTTCAGGGAGCTTTACAAAATATTCTTGGAATGTCTTTTTTCATCCATTTCTGAGCAAAGTCTGATTCATTTAGTAATGACTGCCCAAGGAACTACGAAGGAAAAAACCTTCCTTTCCTTCACAGCCTTCCTGTCACCATAGCTGCAGTATGTCCCCAGTCCAATCCCTTCTGTCCTCTGCACAGGCCAGGGGGACAGTGGCCCAGTGTCTGATAGGGCAGCTGTGATGCTGTTTAATGGGTGAATGAAGCAAACATCACTATTGACTACATTTAGCCTGGGAGGGCTCAGAGCAGCATTTAAAACCACTAGCACAGGGAGGAGACTGAGGATTAGAACAAAAAGTGGGGAGGGCGAAGGGAACGACAACCCACTCTATATCTTGTTTGCATACTTCACTCCTCCCTCCTTCGTGTGACCTGGGACCCCCATAGAGTCTCCTGCTTCCTTGTGAGTCCCCCCATCCCAGTCGCCTCGGTTCCTCCTGTCTGGGATCTCCTCCTCCAGCCAACTCATATGGAATGAGATGGTCCCCACTCCTCCCTTGAGATGCCCAGGACATACTGTCCCTTCCCAGCCTGGGATGCCTCAACCTCCCATGCTCACCCATAAGCCACCTGGACCCTTCCCTGCTCCTCCAACTAGAAAACTCTGACTTCAGCCCAGTGCTTTGCTGAATAAACTAGTGAGCAAAGATCAAAACAAAGAACTGGTTGTCAGACAAATGACATGAGTATGCAGGGCACAAGACAGTTCTCTGTTCCTTTGGTGAAAGATCAGCAAGACGGGTCCCTCACACCAGCACCAGTCCCGGCGTTCTCCTCCCCTTGAGCCACGCACCCTGGGAAATCCCACACTGGCAATCCCATAGGGACACGTCCTGCAACGCTGCTAGACTGTAGGTCTGCACCGCTTTGGACAATTTATCACTGTAGTCTCCACTACACCCATCCATGTGGTATGTTTGTGAATTGAATTTGCTGCTAATTAGCATTCTGTATTCATTTACATCTGCCCAGAGACTGTATGGGTGCACTAAAAAAAATACAAACATTATTAAACTAATCAATTTGTGCTCCTATTTCTCCCAAACAAGATTAATTGAGAATCACTCAACTCATTTACAGGTCTAACTCTCTACCATGCTTTCCAGGGATATTGTCTGAAGTTTCCCGTCAGCTGTCCTGTGTCTCAGATCGTGAAAGAACAAATTATCTTTATTGTCCGATAAAAGTGATAACAGTGCTCTGAATGCAATGATGTATGATATCAAGAGATAGCCTCTGCCTTATTGACCCTGCCCTGAGCTTTGGCTGGATCCAGGTACTCAGAGATGTGTGGGACTTTTTTCCATCAGCAGGTCTACACTATGAAAAGACAGCATTGTTCTCTCTTCTACTTCACATTAAAATATTAAAAGAGAAATGACAACACTGGTTTTAGCCTGCTTCCTGGTTTAGGGTCAGTGCCAGATTCCCTGCAGGATCCATTCAATCTGCTAGCCTTAGCTGCCTTGACTTTACTGCTATTTAATTTGCACTAGGCAAATTCAGTTAAGAGCACATCCCTTTTTGCAGTTTAGAGCTGGCTCACCAAGCCCCAAGCAGAGCCCTGGCGTTCACAGTGCTGCAAAGGTTTATTTTCAGAAGAAGACGACACAGTCCATACATGAACTAACATCAGAGAGTAACAGTAGGAGGGCTCAGGCAACTCCCCTTGCACCCTCCTTCATATCTGGACTATCAGCTGGTATCTGAGAGATTCACACACGAGACGTCAAAAACACCCGTAAGACCATGGGAACAGCACAATAGGGAGCAAACTGCTGTCCAAGATTTGCCTGACTTGCTTGATCACCAAAGAGATGTCAGAGCTAGTCATTGACCATATGATATTGCTTCTGTTGACATCTTTTTAAACATTAATACCAGTTTAGAATAACAGATCTTCCTTGATTTAACTTAAAACAGGATAAAAGGAAATTGCATGAAATTCAGTGAGAGTTGTTTCATTGCAAACATGAAATCTGCACATAGGCAGGTGGTGAAAACCAGCATGAATTAAAATCCTCTGAGTTATTTCAGTACAAATCTGTGTTCGGACAAAGCCTCTCTCCAAGCCCTTGGAGGCCAATCTGGGCAGCCTGTGCTATAGAAACCTCTGCCAGAACTGGCACTGATATGAGCCTTTGGTGGCTGTTTCAAGGACTACACTGGACACCTGATCACCCAGTTTACAGATCATCTAGCACACTGCGGACAAATCTACCGCACGTGCACCAGAAGCATGAGGTGCTATGTAGGCTGCCCCTGAACTGAGTCTGAGGCCACCTTCCTGCTTGTCCCCTGTCTCCCCAGCCCAAGGGCTGCTACTTCCACTTAGGAATTGGGAAGGAACTGGAGACTGTGAAGAGCTACAGCCAGTAGCTGGGGGGCCAGTGTGAGGGCCACTGGCCCACGACCTGAGGAAAGGTCCCTATCATTAAGCTATGTAGGTCAGCACTGCATTAACGCTGTGCCTTGAAGAGAGCTCCAACGTGATGCTAGAAGAGGAAGCAACAGAGCTGCTCTGATGAGGCTCGTTTACTCACTTCTCATAGCAAAACTATTACAGTGGCTCTTGAGCACTGCTGTATAACAGGGCTTTCCAGCTAATTGTCATTTGAACTAGAGCATAAACGTTTAGAATTATTTTTCTTGATTAAAAAGTTGTCAGTGATGGTGAATTCCACAGAGCTCTGGGAAAACCGTTCCAGTGGTATCCTTGTTAAAGTCTATGCCCAGCTTTTAGTGGGAATACTTCTAGCTGTATATCAAACCCTAGCTCCTATTTTAGCTTTGTCAACTAGAAGAGTTTAGTAACAAGGTTTAATTCCTGTGACAGTATTTACAACTTGGCTATAGCAAGCAAGTCTCTTAACTTACTTTCTGTCAGGCTAAATTACTGAGCCAAATTGAGGGAAGGATTCAGACAGTAACCAGTCAGCAGTTGTGAACACTTAATTGCAAGCTCCAACACCGGAACCCGGAACCCTGGGATCCCTGTATGGCGCAGTCAAAACCGACCCACGAGCTGCCCCAGCTGGCCAACAGGAACTGGGCAGCACAGAGATGGGAGCTCCTCCCTTGTCTGCAGGACAAGATGCCTCACCCAGCCAGCCAAGGAAGCACAGCATCAGAATTTACTCCTATTTCTTCCAGCCAGGTGTTATCATCTTTTCACATATAAATTATCCTGAAGTCCTTTCTCCGGTCACCTCATACACAACACCGTACTGGTTTGGGTATTTACACAGGAAGGTGTACTCTTTACTTAATTCCTTTCTTATCCTTATGGTACTCAACAAAGCTCATTCTCAGAAGAGGATCTCCTCCCTCTGCCTACAAACTAGGAAGGGAGATGGGAGAAGTGAAGGGCACCTGCTCAACATTTCCTGTCAACACTTTCTCACTGTGCAGCAAGCAAAGTAAATTTTGCTGAACCAGAGGCAAGAGAGAGAACAGCCAAAAGATGGGTACTCAGCTAGGAGGCAGGCCCCTGTTCTACTTCCGGGGCTTCTTACCGCTTTGACATTACAGGCATATTAGCAAAAACTCAGACATAGTTTTGAGAGCAAGACCAGACCTTGGGAGACTTCCTCCCTGTGAGTTTCCTCACCCACTAGATCTAATTTCTTCTTCCTTAGCGTCCCTCTGTTCAGGTGCCCAGCTCCAGTGTGAAGGGTGCGGAGGGTTCCTCATCTGGATGAACCACCCTGCGCTGGTTATGGCATTTCCCCAGGAATGTGAGAATGGGTCCAAAATGCCCAACAAATGGAACTGGATCCCAGCCTCCCAACACTAATTCTATCAGCCAGACTAGCTCACAGGAGAAAGCATGTACACTTGCATTTTGCAAAGAACATGGTCCGGGTTAGATGTGGCTAGGACACAGACCTGCAGGTCTGAGCAGGTCTTCTGCACACCTTTTGACTGTCTTGGGGGTTTACTCAGGAGCTTGGCACTAGGTGCCCAAGTCTCAGCAGGCAATACAATTAACAACACAGACCTTGAGGGTCCATGGCTGGTAAAGAGACTCACATAGTGATTTCAGTAGCCTCTGAGCAGGAGGAGGAATCACGATTTTGGACTTCTGCCTGAATCTAGTCTAAATGCTCAAAATCTTCAAAATCTGCTTTAGACAACAAGCCGTTCTCTATGAAGCATATTTTCCAGTCCTGTATACATCCCACAACTTCATCTAGAGCTCGCTCCAATTCCTGAGTGTCCCTCTTGAACTCTGACACCAAAACCAGACACACCACTCCAAACAGCTGTCACACCAGAGCTAACAGAGCTAACATAGGAACAGCGCTATTTCTGATTCTTCAGCTGGACAGCTCTACCAAGAAAAAGGGGAAATCTATCCTCAGAGCTGCCAACTGAGGACCTTCCAGCACTACAACAGTGCGGAAAGGAGTGAAACCTGCACTGGACACATGCATGGGAAAAAATGCACTCACCCACTAGTTCCAGGTCTCTGGGTCTGAGAGAAGCGCCAATCCGTGTTAGGCTGAGCTTGCTGCAAAGAAAATGGAAAAGTTTTATTCTCTGTTCTTGTGTTTGAAATCAAAGAAAACTGATCCTGGATTATTTCAGTCTGGAATATCAGACTATTCTTTCCAAGTAAAGCAAATCAATTAGAACTGAAAAAAAAAATCCCTCTAAACCCACCCCTCTTTCCTGAGTATTTTTGAACCAGCATGAATGCTAAAAAGCATGACAAAAACTATTCAGAGAATGATCTTCCAAAGCAGCTCAGGAAACCAGGCTGTGAAAGAAATGAAGCATGAAACAAACTGATAAGGGCATCAATTTAGCAAAAGAAATGGTACCAAAGTAATGAGGTTGCAAGAGCATAAGGGGGGGTGGGGTGGCAGAGTTAATTGATACTGGGAAAGATGCTTTTAACGCCAGAAGGTGAAATGATAACAGACCTTCCTAATCTGTTCTTCTTCTGTCCTTAAAAAGGCCTGCCTGAGATCTTGATTTCACACATTGTATTTGAATGACTTTTCCTAGATGCTGTGGCCTTGGAGCACTGCAATATTTTTCTGTCCACAGAGAAAAGAATGAACTTCCGACAACAAAAAAAGGCATTATTTGTTTAGGGGACACAATAAACATCAGACACAGCAGCATACTTTGTAACTTCATTAGTAGGCCTTGTATTGCTTTCTGACCATGTTATTATACCATCAAACAATGGACATTTTGTAAATAAGGAAGGACACGAAACAGGGCTGTGTATTACTTGTTTGAATCATGCCTTTGTGAAGAGCACTAAACAGCAGAACTGTTTTCTGTCTGAAAGACGCATACTTCCTAAAAACGTAATCTTCTTAATTAACTCCAGAGTGATAACATGCTACCTGGAAAGGATAACATTTCTCTCAGTTACTTCAGGAATGAGCAGTTCACAATCTATACAGCGTAACAGAAATTTTATAGGATTATTCTGCCTGTACATGCAATTACTAAGGAAAACTGAAGACGGATACAGCTGACCTAGATTTTTATTTAGTAGATGTGATTTTACTAATTTCCCCACAGCTTTGATGATGCTGGTAAAGGAATACATTAGAATAAATTACTGACTTCCCTAAAATAGAGGCCCCACTGTTACCCATGCTGCATGCAAACTGAGTTGTTTAAATACTTGTCCTCCAGATTTCAGATACGCACATTTTCTGCACACACTGACACACAATCCCCCACCAAATAAGCCCTTCCCATTCTGTTTTTTGAATACCTGTTGTAATTACTACTTGCAAATTTAGAGCAGGCGCTTACTGACACAAAATGTCTTTACAGCTATATCCCGAAGTTATAAAAGGTACAGCTAAATGCAGTCACCTACATCCATATTTAGACATACAAATAAAAGTGGCTGAAGTATTTGCAGCATGCTGCTGCCTAGGTCTCTTCAAGTTCGAGGGCACGTAAGGTCATCAGGGCCTCTGAGAAAAACATCACGCCTGGTGATGAACTATGAATTCGAGCTTGCTTTGAACTACCAAGTTTGAAAATGGTCCCTTGCCAGGGCACAATCAATAGTTAACCTTTCACAGGCAAGAAATGAGAAATTTCTACAACACACCTCTAAAACACAGCAAGATAAATACTGATAAACTGCTTTACGGATAACTTCCTCCTGTGTCCAGTTTCATAAGACATGCAGAATAAAGGCGTTAAACAGAGTCAAGAAGTTAAATACCCAAAAAAATCATCATAGTGACCATGCTAAGAATCCCTTTAAAAAGAAAAGAGTACCAAGAGGGCCAAAAGAAAATTGTCCAGTTTTAGCCCAGCTGCTACGAATACACAGTCTTTGATTTTACAGCGACTTTCATCCCCTTATCATCACTCCATCCTGCAGAGCCAAACCTTTCACCGGCCACCTCCTGGGCAGGTGAAAGTCACATACACTCCTTGAGGCCACCTTATTTAGCTAAAAGACAGCCAGAGAACAGCAAAGTAACCTGGACAGTATGCATCATTGCTCTTAGCAAACAAGACAGTAAAAAACACCCATCTCTTACCCCATCACAGGGACTCGCTAAGGTGCTGGTCGCCTGCTCATAGGCAGCCATGCTTTCCGTGGTACTAGAATGGCTGAAAGGCTTTACAAAGAGGAAATCACTTTGATCAGACATGGGAGAGAAACAAGATGTGTACTGCTGTGCCTGGGACGTCAGGCCCGCTCCTCCCACATCCAAGTACTTGATGAAGCCGTCTGGCTTCAGCTGCCCACGGAAATGGGAGGTGGGCTTGCGGCCTGCCCCTCGGCAGCAACCCATGAGGGTCCAGCTGCAGCCAGAGCCAGCTTTGAGACACTTGGCACCCACAACTGCAAACATCACACAAGACACTAAGGAAATGGACACAAGGGAGATGATGAGGTAAAGAGTTAGGCTGGAATCCTTCGGAGAAGATTTGGGGAGGTCCATAGACTTGGCAAAATCCTGCATGCTGCTCTCCTCCAGAGAGATGACTATTGTCACAGAGGCTGAGAGGGATGGCGTCCCATTGTCCCTCACTTCAACCTCCAGTCTATAGGGAGCTTCTGACTCTCGAAGGGTCTGCGTGACCCTTATCTCTCCAGAGCGGTGTTCCACCTGGAAAGGCAAAGTTTCAGCAGTCTCCCCCAGCTGGTAGGACAGCCAGGCATTATGGCCACTATCGGAATCCACAGCTACAATTTTGGTGACCAAATAGCCAGGTTCTGCTGAGGTTGGGATGGTTTGGTGGAAGGCAGAGCCCTTGGGAACAGATGGGTAGATAATGGTGGGGGCATTGTCATTCTGGTCCAGGACAAACACATGGACCACAGCAGTGCTGCTCAGAGTGGGAGACCCAGCATCTTTCACCTCCACAGGCACCTGGAACACCTTGTCCTGCTCATAATCCAAAGCCTGAATGGTGTAGATGGTGCCATTATCCTGGTCTATTCGGAAATAAGTTGATATAGGTAAATCTTGCATCCCGTTGTCCAGGATAGAGTAAGACAGCTTGGCATTGCTTCCCTCATCAGGATCAGATGCTGACACTGAAAAGACAAAGGCGCCAGGGAGGGAGTTTTCTTGAATGTGAGCCGTGTAGGAAGGGTTGGAGAAGTTTGGTGCATTATCATTCACATCAGCAATTTGGAGAAAAATAGTTTTTTGCGTGGCCCTCTGCGGGGACCCTGAATCCGTAGCCCTCACAGTGATGTTGTATCCACTGGACTTCTCCCGATCAAGGGGACCATCTGTGACCAGTGAGAAGTGTTCTTTGAAAGATGAAACAAGTTTAAATGGGAGGTCTTTTGCTATCTGCAGGCGGACCTGACCATTGTCACCAGAATCACTGTCCTTGACACCAATGAGGGCAATCACCGTTCCCGGGGTTGCGTCCTCCTGCACTGGGCTGGAGAGAGAAGTTAGCACAATCTCTGGACTGTTATCGTTGATATCGATTAATTCCACTCTCAGGTGACAGTGTCCCTCCATGGCTGGGGATCCCTTGTCTCTGGCTCGAACTGCAATCTCGTAAGCGCTGGATTCCTCATAGTCCAGTGAGGCTTTGGTTCTGATCTCCCCTGTCTGAGGATCTAAGGTGAACAACCTGCTGAATTTACCAGGTGCATTATTGCTCATTTTGAAAGAATACTCCACTTCCCCATTGGGACCTTCATCCAAATCAGTAACATTCAGCTTGGTGACCAGAGTGCCCACAGGCACATTCTCCTCCAGATGCACCTTGGAAATGGGTGGGTCGCAGACAGGTGGGTTGTCATTTGCATCCAGGACATGGATGGTGACCTTGGCAGTGCCAGATTTCACTGGATTCCCTCCATCCAGAGCTGTCAGGGTTAAATGATGGACAGCCACTTTCTCTCTGTCCAGTGCTTTCTCGAGTACAATCTCAGGCATTTTAACACCGTCTCCTCTCACGTTGATACTCAGGGCAAAATGCTCACTGGGGCTGAGCTCATAGGTGGCGATGGAGTTGGAGCCCATATCTGGGTCTTCCGCTACCTCCAGGGGTAGCCGAGTCCCGGGGTTGGCTACTTCGGTGATCTCCAAAGCCACTTCCTGCTTGGGGAACTGTGGCGCGTTGTCGTTCACATCGAGGACGTCCACCTCGACCCGGTGGAGCTGGAGGGGATTCTCCATGACGAGCTGGAGATGTAGGGAGCACGTGGGGCTCTGGCCGCACAGTGCTTCCCGGTCCAGCCTGCTGTCAAGGAGCAGCACCCCTGCCACCAGGTCCACCTGGAAGTGCCGCTGCTCACCCTCGCTCACTAGCCGCAGCTTGCGGGCAGCCAGGCTCCGCACCTCCACCCCCAGGTCCTTGGCCACGTCGCCCACGAAGGAGCCCGGCTCGCGGTCCTCGGGCACGGCGTAGTGGAGCTGGGCGCTGCTGGGAGGCAGCAGGGAGGAGAGGGCTCCGAGCAG